AAACGAATGAATGAATGGATTGAATAATTAATTAGTTAATTAATTAATTAAATTTAATTGATCAATTAATTACCAGTTATAGACCTGATAGTAGCCAATTTATAACCATCGTTTTTTATATTGTTCGATATATAATCATCAATTGATAAAAGCACGTGACTGTATGATGTATATATACGTGTGTTTGATTTTTTTCGCGCAAATGAATATCATTTTATATTGATGTGTAATTGAAAGTATTTTAGCGGTACTATTGGTACCGGACGTCAACTGCTCACTCAAACCATGCTCTCTTGCTCAAACGTAAGGATATTTTCTGCAAATTAGTAAACAGAAAAAGAAGAGTCTGGGTCCAGATGTCAGTTACATTTCAGGCTTTTTGCAAGTTAAATTTCCGGGGTTTTAATTTTTTGATAGTTAAATTTCAAACTTTTTGTCAGTTTTCAGTTAAACTCCATCCACATTTTCCAAAAGGTGGGAGATTAACGTATGATTTTTTTTGCTTTTTGTTCCATTTTCACAGATCATTCCTTGCTGGTTAAATCTGGGACATTTCGTAGTGTTTTCCATTTGAGAATCAAGCTTATACGTTATGCTCTGAACTATTACGAAGCAGAACGAGCTTGTGYTATTTTCGGTGCTCAGATATCAAGCTTAAAGCAGTTGGAAGATAGTTGGAGAGCTGGCTTTGATTCCTGCAGGTATGTTTTATTAGTTTTTTTCTTTTCTTATCAACTAGGATAGCTTTTCCCTCGCTGGCTTGTGGGATTTGTGGATAGCAAGTCACCAGGCAATGTGACTAGTTCCTCTTCATTTAAAAAAAAAAAATAATTTTTTTGTTATAAATGTCGCTACGTGGAGCCGTTGCCAGGACTCCCTAGTCCCTAGCCAGAGGGTAATGTTTACAGCTATTTCAAAGGTTGAATGTCTGGGCGAACGGCGGATGGAGATCGAAAAACAAGMATAATCGAGGTCGACTACAAACAAAATTCAATATACTATATCTCAACAATCTCCTACTACCACTACCACTGCTATACCACTACCACTGCTATGACACTACGATTGCCACCACCACTACCACTACCACTACCACTACCACTACCACTACCAC